GTGGGGGGGGGGGGGGGGGGGGAGAATGGACGTCTTGCTTGCCTCTGGATCGAAGAAAGGCTGGGCAAGGAGTGATTGAGGCAACTCACGAAAACACCACGGGCACCCACAGAATCATATCGCACAATCACACACGTCAAACTCATCCACCCTATGAAATCGATACGGAACGAATTCGCGTTGGACTGCTAGCTTAGAGCACGGAAGAGGGTATCTATTCCGCCGGCCCTCCCCAGCCTGACGTCGATTCATTCGGGGATGCGAAAATGATGTTTGTGATGCCATGGCGACCGCAGCAACAGGTATCGTACACATCACCTCATCTGCGGCCTTGTCTTGCCCCTCTCTTTCAGCCAGGAGCCTCTTCAGCTCTAACTCTTTCGCCTCCACCTCGAACTGGCGAAACGGCACCGGTTCCGCCGCAACAAGACGACCAAGATGGTCGGAATGTCACGCCGACCATCGAGCACGTTCGCGTGAACAGCAAAAGCACACACAGCGGCAAGAACGCCGATTGAAAGCGGCACCATTGGCTGACGGAACAAATCGACGTGAACAGCTAGCTAGCTGTTGACACACAAGCAACAACCAGCGTTCAGCCACATTCAGAGGCAATGGCGCCGGCCAATCGATCCCCGAGACACAAAGAAAAATATCCAGCCTACAAGTCACAACCCATCTAACCACAGCGCACGAGCAGGGCCGCCATCGCACCTGCAAGAACACCACGTCGTCTTCCGTACCCTCCTCCTCCTCCTCCTCCTCCTCTTCCTCCTGCGGGCCCCCCTTCCCCCCCTCCACATCCGCTCCCTCTTCCGGCGGCAGAGCTTCTCCTGAGGGCGACGCAGAAGAATCGCCTCGTTCTTCTGCGGCGTCCACCGCTCCTCCTGGCTTTCCTCCATTCGCCGTCAACCCTACCGCAGCAGCCTCTTCGTCACCGACAGCACAAACTCCGCCCTCCGCATCTCCCTCGCTTTCAGCTTGGGGGACCCCGGGACTTCGTTCGTCCTCTCCAGAAGCTCCGCTCGGCCCCGCGACGGGCTCCGCCGCCCCCTGTGCTGTCGCACCGTTCGGGTCCGCGCAATCGCCATCGCCCGACTCTCTGGCCGGTTCGCCCGCTCCTTGATGTAACGGTTCGTCTAAAGCCTCCGAAGGCAGCGGCGGGTTCTCAACAAGGCTCTCTGGCTCCCCCTCTCCTGGTTCGTCTGAGGGGTCGACGATGCCGACTGGAGCGGTGTCTCCGCTCCCGTTACCGTTAACGAAGCCTGCTCCCGGTGCCGATACATCATCATCACCCCCGGTGCTTGGCGCCGTCATCTCTGCAGGAACCCCTTCGCCTTCGTCTCCCTTGCAGCTTCCCCCCTCGCTCGCTTCGTCTCTCGTCATTCCCTCCTCCTCGGCCTCAACTCCCGTCCCCACGGATGCTGTTGCATCTTCGCATGATGGCTCCGCGGTAAACACGTTATCCTCTTCTTCGCTTTCCGTCTCGTTGCCGAGCTCGTCGGAGACGTGGCTAACAGGGGCCCCGTCGTCTCCGCCGTTGTCGTCGCTACCCCCCCCGTCGCGGCTCGCCTGGCCGCCACCCCGCTCTCCGACGGCATTACCACCCTTTTCCGCAGACGGCGTGCTTCTTCCCGAGACCTTGGCAAGGGCTTCCTTTCCGCTGCCGGAGGGCGAACCCAGTCCCTCGGCGATATCGGAAGCAGCAGAGCCACCTCTTGGATTTTGTCGTCCGGAGGGAGACGCCGGCAGCGCTGGATCCTCGCTGCCGTCCATGTCGCCGGTCTCGCCTGCCCCCGCCAAGGCGGTCGGCCCGTCACCAGCATCACCCCCCGCGTCTGATGGCGGAGAGTCTTCTTCTCCCGATCCGCTTTCAGACACTGCGTGCTCACCCTTCTCCTGAGCATCGGTCTCAGGAACGTTCTCGGCGACAGCAGATTGTGGGCTGCTTGCGTCTGTCCCCCCGCATACTCGTGCCGCCTCTTCTTCTTGGCCCTCCGACCGCGGCGACATGTTGTCGTTGTACCTGTCGGCGCTGCCGCGCTCCGCCGTCCCGCCGACATCGCTCGACAGGAGATCGTCGGCCTGTTGGCGCTCCTTTCCTCCTTCCGGCAAAAGCGGGGGCCCCGTGCCTGAAGCCAACTCCGGAGGGGGAGATTTTGCCTGAGGGGTTCGGCGGCGTGCATGCGTGCGTGGAAGGAGCGGGGAGTTGTTGCCGACGTTGGCAGATCGGCTGGTATGCCTGACAGGATTGTGATCAACGAGTTCAGCGGGTGCGCTTGAGGGCTGTTTCGTGATAACCGCAACCATGAAATCGTGGAACAAACGACGGCACCCTAGACGTGCACATGCCAGCACAGACCTGGACCTGGCATGTGGCATTCCGCGTATCGCTTGACGACAAAAGTGACGAGACAGCAGCCGATGAGTACGCTGTCGAAACGGACATTGCCCTGATCCAATTCGTAAGCCGGCGCCGAGTCACTGGTGTATGCTGCGCAATACTCGCTTCGTGCTCCGTGATGCGGCGTCGCACGTCGGAACCGCTTGACCCATGAGTCTTCGGTGGTGAAGGTTGCTTACGACAAGGTGGAAAACAAAATGATGATTCGTAAGAAAAGAGAAATGAAAGAATAGGGAGCCTTACCCCATCGGGCGGCAGCATCGCCAGCAGATCTAGCAGCATCCGGCGAGTGTCCTCCCCGCCTGGGTACAGCAGCTGGTGCGCTGACAAGGGTTCGGAGTAGCCCGCGTCCTGAGCCAACAAAAGCAATTCGGTCAGATTCAGACCACAAGACTCGTGCTGTGTGAACCCGACCAAGAAGAGAACAGCAGTCCGTCTCGAGACAGGCACGACAATCAACCTCCTGGACGCGGCACAACCTCTAGCTTTTGTCATCCGTAACGCTGGACCTGCGGGAGAACCTCTTCCCTTTCCGCCCGGTGTACAGTAACACGTCGATCTCTGTCGTCAATGATTCATTGCTCGACCACCAACGACGTTGTCTGCTTGCTTTCCTGCTGCTGTCCTTTGTTTTAGCTTCCTTTCTGAGGAGGTCTTCCGGAGAGGCACCTACCAGCAATCGGCTCAGCACAAGCCAGACCGAAGAGCCAACAACCAATAGGAACCACACCCAGGCGGCCGAACCGCACGCCTCACACTCACCCTAACCCGACTGGCGACAAGCCTGCAGGCGTGAAAACGCTCCGCCGGGTGGCAGCCCGTCGTCGACAACGCCTCGGGGGGGGGGCGCGAGCCGTCCATCCCCGCGATCATGAATCCGACCGCCTGGATGACGGCATCAGAGCTCAGCTGCCCCACTGAGGAAACCCCGTGTGGGACCGGACTGTTGGACGCGCGCACGAGAGGAGACGGCCGTGAGATACGTGCAGTGGGCTCGGTACAGCAGTAGCGCAAAAGAAAAAGGGGTGACGGTGAAACCTTTTTCGCGGTGGGGTTGACACACCCGTAATATTAGCGCACCAATCGACCCGTGCGTGTCGATGACATTAGGGGTCACCGCCACGACGCGGTGAAATTGTTGGTCTGGCCGATCTCATGGGAGGAGCGCTCGGTGCGCACAACTACGACAGGTCGCGCCGCAAGTGGTGTTTCGGTGGCAACTTCTTAATACAGAGGGGGGCCCGGTATAGTGTAGGGATGTGTCCAGATATGTTACCTGCACTATAGCGGGCACCTGCACTACTCCGAAGAGTGTCTCAATAGTGCAGGTCCTGCACTATTGAAGAGACTTTTGACATAATGGTGTGGCACCCACGCTTTGCGGGGCTAACTGGGTAGGAAATGGATCGAATTGCAGTAGTGCTGGGCTACTGGGCCCTGTCCTAGCGTGGGCAGACTGTCTCGCGACGCGTTGTGGTTCCCCCCTGTCGCACACACAGAAATGTTGTAGAAAAACTATTTGCATGTTCCACCGTTGTATTCTTCCTGCCTCAGCACTAGTGCTGTACTGTACACCTTGAACTGCTGTCGCGCGAACCAACCCTTCTACGTTGATACGTAGTTAACGAAGCTCAATCTCTGTCATCGTTGCCCTCCTTCGATGTTGGAAGAAAACATACAGAAAATAAAAAAGAAACACGACAGGAAGCGCACTGCAAGAAAACAAACAACCACTACATACTTCTACAGTTGACCTCGCCCGCACTACGCGAAGATCCCTCATGTCTGCCTGGCGCACCCGCTTAGAGGAATGCCCTGCTATCATCGCCAGATCACCGTACGCGCAAGGCATGGTGCGCCTCTGCGTAGAGCTCTTCGGGTCTGCAGCAGCACGTGTACCCTCATTTTTGTGTTGCTTTTGTCCGCTGTCCGCGCGCGCGTGTGTGTGTCCTTACTATGAACATCGACCGCGCTAACCGGCTGACCAATGAAAAGACGTCACTCTCAGTGCGGTCAAATACACAAGACATTGCGATGCCATTAACGGGAACCCCGTGAGGGGACGGCATGGGGAAGAGACTAAGCTATTCTCCGAATGAAAGACTGAAACCGTGGCAACAGAAGAAAGCTGCACGCGTCTACCAAGGCTGCTACCTTGCGCTCTAGTTCGTTTTGGAGTGCTTTCACTCTCATCATCCTCCTTGCTTTCACCACCATCATCATTCTCATCATCCTTGCCACAGCATTTTTTTTTCGGCAGTTCTTCTCTGTGGCCCTGCGTCGTTGGTTGTGGCGAAGGTCATCTGGCTCGAAGCTCTTGCTCTCTTCCACGCTATGATTCCCTACGTGATTGTTGTGTTGGTCTTTGTGTGTGTCCAACCTGCACTATTGCGGGGCACCGCGGTGCCCAACCTGCATTATAGCGGAACCGCCCTCAAAAGTGCAGGACCTGCACTATTGAGGGCGCTGTTTGTGTCCAGAGATTTTACCTGCCCAACCGGGCCCCCCTCTGTACGTTCGTGTATGTACCGCCATGCTCTGGAGCTCACGGGATGGCAATCGACTCCAGCTCACGTCGCACGCCAGTAGTGGGGATGTTGCAGCAACGCTGAGCACGATCACGTAGTGCTTGCAACAGCGGCTCGCAACACCCCACTTGTGGTGCAGGGAACAATGTACAGCAGTGTGGTAAATGATCACACAGGAACACCAATATGGCAGGACTGACGAGCGACAATAGGTGCGCGGACAAAGAGACCAACAGCCAATGACAGTGTCTTCAAGTTTAATCAACCAGCGGGAGGCGCTCCCCAAGAACCTCGGCGTGTATGCTACGGCGGAGCAGAGGTCAGGGGTGACAGACAAGGCAGGATTACCCATCACATTGCAATAGCTCACCAGCCATTTTGCCGCAGGAGCAGGACCAGCAGCTGCCGTTGGCGTCGCGTACGGAGATATACAGCGCGGTACACGCAAGAGGGAGAATGAGAAACACAAATAAAACACCAGCGAGCGGAAGATAGAAGAACATGGACGTGAACATGTGCAGGGCAGGGGGAAAGAGAGGTGTGCAGCACTACATAGGGATTGCTGTACCTTTCTCGCGATAAAAATATCTCAGGCAGGAACCGCATGAGGGGGTCCAACCCCCCCTCCTATGTGACCCCGGTTGGGTCGTCTAGCTGGTAGAAGTGGAGGGTAGGGACCAGAGTGGCAGACGACAGAGTCCAATGAAGGGAAAAAAAAAAAAAGCAGTGCCTGAGTTTTGGTGCAACTCATCGACGTCCCGAATGATGAAGCTCACTACAAGGAGGAAGACTACACGTTGCAAACGCCTTGAACGCGAAGCCTGCACAGGGTCGCATTCCACTCTACGAGCTTCCGGCGCTGGCTTGCAATCTTACAAGGGAGTCGATCCTCACTCTTGTAGGAGGGAACTGGGTCAGCAGCCACCAATAGGTCAGCTTTTCCGAAAGCGTGCTACATAGAGCTGGATTGCAGATTCTTGGGAGTCGCTGCATTCGCTGCAGCAAAGCAGTGCCAGACCAGAACAAGTGTTGGAGACGTCAAGACTGCTGGCAATAGGAACAACACCTCGAGTGTTCAATACAAGGGTCGTCAAGCAGAGACACACATACCTGGTCCGCTTCTCTCCTCCCGGGAGGCAGCTGCTGGGCAGCCATGCGCCTTTGGACGCCCGCACCGTGCCGGGTGTGTGGGCGCGGCTGGTGTGGCTGAAAACGAGCCCAGGGGTTGCGTGGATTGGCGGTCCACCATTCCTGACCATGTGCCCCCCACCATCAAAATGATTGCACCTCACCTGACCTCCCCCTCCCCGGCCCGCTTTCATCGCCGCAGCGGCGCGCTTCTCCGGGCTGTCTGCGGGCCGGCATATCGGGGCTTCAGGGAAACGTCAATCAAACGCTGCCGCTACATACTTGGGCGGCAGATGCCGCTCCTTCATCCACTGTGGTGGAGTCAGCGTGACGTTGCCGGCTATCTTGGGGAGAGTGTCCAAGACCATCCTCGCTTGTTTCGCGATGGCAGTTTGTAACTCGACATTCATCCATCGCTCCCGATCTCCCTCCTTTGCCTCTTCCTCCGGCGCTTCTTCTCCGTCGATGCACTCTTCATCTTCGTCCATGGGTTCTTCCTCCGTATTTCTACTGGCTGCCGACGACGAGGCGCCCACGCCGCAAGGGTCACCGGCGCCCACGCCACATTCATTGGTCATCGGCTGAAGATCCGGCTCCAGCTCTAACCGTCTGCCGTGTAGAAACTTGACCAGAAATAGAACATGATGAAAAAATCCTAGGCGCCCCCGCCGCCGCCGACGTCGCCGCCCCTCTACCTTCAGAAAAACTATATATATAATATATGTCACGCAGCAAGCTCCACCTCTCAGCGGTAGTCCAGCTACAGCGCATCGCGCAATCTCGCTCTCAATCAGAAACTTCGCTCTCAATCACACGAAAACCTTGTTACGGGTTGAAAGTTCCCGCATAGTGTTTTGCCTTACTTGCAGCTCGATCTTCGAGGGCGGATCCTGGCATTTGGAGTGACTTGTCGATACTTCGCCTAGCAGATGGATTGACGACTGTGACATCTATAAGAATGGATTTGGTGCAGAGTTCCTCTTCTTTATCTCCTGCGTGTAATCCTGGGGGGATCACTAAATCCATCTTGTAGAGCCCTCTTCCCTTACCAGTGCCGGTAGTAAATGGGGAAGNTAGCCATGATAGTGTTGGGCGGTACCACAGCTGTAGTACGCTGGTTGGCGTATGTGGTAGAGGCTTGGTAGA